ATAAGGCAAGGCAACCAAATAGCAACCCGGATTTAAATATTCCAGGCAGGAAGAAGTCATCGCTCCATTCGTGATGGAAGGAGTCCAAGGTGATTCTCAGGCCACCAGGTATTTGGGTGGTCTTCCTAGGAAGCGTGCAACGTTGGTGGGGGAGGGTTACCAGTGCCACAGCTGGCAGAGCTTTGCTGGGGCACATCCATGCCTAGCCCTCCATGGCCACTTTGTTCATGACTCCATTGTGCCAGGACCAGGGAGGCTGATGCTGAGCTCTGTGAGGTCATCTGATCTGCCAGATGGCTTAATAGCCTTCTCTGCAATAGAGGTTTTTTGGGAAGAGTTCACCTGGATACGGATTATGTGCTGCTTTTCACTCCTGATGCATCTGACACCAAATATATGGGTTTTTTTTTTCATACCGATGACCAATCTCTAACCCTTCTGAAACCAAGTGTCCAATGATTTGTTTTAAAGATTTTATCTTTTTTTTAATTAAAAAAATATTGATTTATTTTTGAGAGAGAGACAGAATGCGAGCGGAGGCGGGGCGGGGGGGTGCGTTGCAGAGAGAGGGAGACACAGAGTCCAAAGCAAAGCAAGCTTTAGGCTCTGAGCTGTCAGCACAGATCCCCATGCAGGGCTCGAACCTACGAACCAGGAGATCATGACCTGAGCAAAAGTCAGGTGCTTAACCAACTGAGCCACTCAGGCACCCCTAAAGATTTTATCTTTAAGTAATCTCTACACCCAGCACGTGACTCGAACTCATGAGTTGTACACTTTACCGACTGAGCCAGCCAGGTGCCCCTGTGGGGTCAAGGAATTAATTCCATTTGATTCCAGGTACCTCATACAGAACCCACAGGTACTGGCTCAGTCCCACAAGACCCCCCCCCCCCACCCGCCTTCCTTCCGATTCCAGTCCAAGTCCCAGGCATGCCATACTTGTGACCGAATGACTATAAATCAAGGGTTCCTACGACCCCTTTTTGGGGGCCCATAGTTTGCTACAATGGCTCACAGAACTCAAGAAAGCTCTTTACTTAGTATTACTGATTTATTACAAAGGACGGATCTCGGGGAGCCTGGGTGGCTCAGTTGGTAAGCGTCTGGGTCTTGATCTTGGCTCAGGTCATAATCTCAAGGTTCCTGGGGTGGGATCGAGCCCCTGCATCGGGCTCTGTGCTGACATTAAGGAGCCTGCTTAGGATTCTCTCTCCACCGCCCACTCTGCCCCTCCCCCACTTGTGCATGGGCTCTTGCGTGCACACACGGGCCCTCTCTCTCTCAAAATAAATAAATAAGCTTTAGGGGCACCTGGGTGGCTTGGTCGGTTAAGTGTCAGACTTCGGCTCAGGTCATGATCTCACAGTCCGTGAGTTCGAGCCCCGCGTCAGGCTCTGTGCTGACAGCTCAGAGCCTGGAGCCTGTTTCAGATTCTGTGTCTCCCTCTCTCTCTGCCCCTCCCCTGTTCATGCTCTGTCTCTCTCTGTCTCAAAAATAAATAAATGTTAAAAAAATTTTAATTTGTTAAAATAAATAAATAAGCTTTAAAACAAAACAAAACAAAAAACAAAGGATACAACTCGAGGACAAATAGGAGAGACACATAGGGCAAAATATGGTGGGCATGCCACTTCCCATACTCTGCTGCGTTTACCAACCAGGAAGCTAAGAAACCCGTTGTTGAGGAATTTTATGGGGGGGGGGCACTTGGGTGGCCTAGTCAATTAAGTGTCTGACTCTTGATTTCAGCTCAGGTCATGATGTCACCATTCATCAGTCAGAGCCCCACATTGGGCTCTGCTCTGACAGCACAGAGCCTGCTTGGGATTCTCTCTCTCTCTCTCTCTCTCTCTGCCCCTCCCCTGCTCGCATTCACTCTCTCTCTCTCTTTCAAAATAAATAAATAAACTTAAAAAATAACAAATAAAAATTAAAATCCCATCTCTTAAAAAAAAATAAAAAGGAGGGGTGCCTGGGTGTCTCAGTCAGTTAAGCGTCTGACATCAGCTCACGTCATGATCTCACAGTTCATGGGTTCAAGCCCCAAGTGCTGACAACTCAGAGCCTGGAGCCTGCTTTGGATTCTGTGTCTTCCTCTCTGTCTCTGACTCTCCCCTGTTCACACTCTGTCTCTCTCTCTCTCTCTCTCAAAAGTAAATAAACATTAAAAAAAAATGTTAAAAAGGGGCGCCTGGGTGGCTCAGTCAGTTAAGCGCCTGACTTCAGCTCAGGTCATGATCTCACAGTCTGTGAGTTCAAGCCCTACCTTGGGCTCTGTGCTGACAGCTTAGAGCCTGGAGCCTGCTTTGGACATGTGTCTCCCTTTCTTCTCTGCGTCTCCCCTGCTCATGCTCTGTCTCTCGCTCTTGAAAATAAATAAACATTAAAAAAAATAAAAAGAGTTGTATGCTCTTCCAACTGAGCCAGCCAGGCTCCCCAAAGCCACTTCTTTAGGTATTCTTTCTTCTCTCACCTTCCCTGAAATAAATTACCCGCCCTCCCCCCACCCCGCCCCCCAGGCTGTTCTCTGGCCTTATCACCTTTTTGTCATCTACTGACCTCCTAGTCACAGATGTACCACGAACAGGTCATAGATGGGCTAGAGGTATTGATTCCCTTGACTCTCAGAGTGGCCTGGCTGCCTCTGTTTGTGGCAGGCTTATCTAATTAGCTCCGTGAGCTGCAAAAATATCATCATGTTTCTATTTGCTCCATGACGAGAAACTATCTGGGAGACACTAAGAGCTGCAATGTTGATGGTGCCCTCCACCACAACCATCTTCTCGCTTTCCCACATCCCTCGGACATCAACCACCTTCCACCTTACTTTCTCAGCAACCTCACCATCACCTTTTCTTAACTTGATAGGAACCCCCAACTGCACACCCTCTCTTTCCTTTGGATATGACTCCACAGTCCATCATTTCAATAATCCTCTTGCCATGTTGCCTGTCTCACACTCTTCTGTCTTTGTAAGGCCCCAGTCTTGGAGAAGAAAAAGCCCACCTGTCATGTTCTGTTTTGTTTTCCTGAGCTTGTCTCTAAAGCAAGTGAGCATTACCGGAGAAAGTCTCGTGACAGGGCAGAGTGGTTCCACCCTGAATATGTGATGGCCCAACTCCACATGCTCTGGGCATTGCCCACAGTCCCACTGCTATCACCTGGTCAACTCATTGTCATTTCCGTGGTGACAAGTGCAATATTTTTACCCTCTTCAATCTCTGACACCCTTTATGCCTCCAGCCATGCATTCTCAGCCTATGACCTGCCCCCTTTGAGAGATAATAAAAGCCATCCTCTGGAAAGCCCCTCAGTGTCCTACACTAAAACCACAGACCTGACTCTCTTTCCAGGACTACCTTCCTCTAACAATTGCAAAGTTGTTCTTCACCATCCTCTGGAAAGCCCCTCAATGTCCTCTACTAAAACCACAGACTTGGCTCTCTTTCCGGGACTACCTTTCTCTAACAATTGCAAAGGTGTTCTTCTCAACTCATGCCAAGCCTGCATGGCTTTTTGATTTTTAAATACGTCCTTCTCATACCTTGGCTGTTGTGATTACTATTCTTCCTCTTTTTAGGTGGTCAGCATCTCCCACTCAAAGAATCTTTCGCTGACTTAAAATTTTTTTTTTTAATTTTTAATAATTTATTTATTTTTTGGGGGGCGCCTGGGTGGCGCAGTCGGTTAAGCGTCCGACTTCAGCCAGGTCACGATCTCGCGGTCCGTGAGTTCGAGCCCCGCGTCGGGCTCTGGGCTGATGGCTCAGAGCCTGGAGCCTGTTTCCGATTCTGTGTCTCCCTCTCTCTCTGCCCCTCCCCCGTTCATGCTCTGTCTCTCTCTGTCCCAAAAATAAATAAACGTTGAAAAAAAAAATTAAAATAAAATAAAATAAAATAATAATTTATTTATTTTTTAACTTACATCCAAGTTAGCATTATAGTGCAACAATGGTTTCGGGAGTAGATTCTTTCACTGACTTTTTCAGAAATAATAGTTATTTTTAATTGTGGTAAAAATACATATAACATAACATTTACCTCTTCAACCATCTTTAAGTGTACAGTTAGTGGAATTAAGTGCATTCACACCGTGACCATGTGAAGACACAGGGAAAAGATGGCAGTCTACAAGCCAAGGGGAGGGACCTCAGAAAAAAGCCAACCCTGATGATACTTTGATCTGGGGTTTCTAACTTGCACAACTGTGAGAAAATTAATCTCTGCTTATTTCTGTAACTTCCATAAATTCCTGGATCACCCAGTCCACAGTACTTTCTTGTGGTGGCCTAGCAAACGAATATAGTTTCCTACCACTCTGAACAACTTTTTCTTCTTTTCAGTTTTTAACTTTTTTTTAATGTTTATTTATTTTTGAGAGAGAGAGAGAGAGAGAGAGAGAGAGAGAGAGAGAGACACTGTGACTGGGGGAGGGGCAGAGAGAGACAGAGACATAGAATCCAAAGCAGGCTCCAGGCTCTGAGCTGTAAGCACAGAGCCCAAGGTGGGGCTCGAACCCACGAACTGTGAGATCATGACCTGAGCTGATGTTGGACACTCAACTGACTGAGCCACCCAGGTCCCCCAGTTTTTATCTTTCTGACCTCTCAAGTAACCGATGCACTTGGTACCTCCTTCCAACCTGAAACGCTACTCTCTAAGATTGTAAGGCACATCATTCTCCTGGTTTTCCTATTGCTTCTCTGGGCTGGTTCTCTGACTCTTGCAAGCTCATACTCCTTTGAATACTAGAGTCCCTCAAAACTCTTCCAGAGCCCCTGCTCGTCTCATGACCTACTCTTGCTAGGGGGCCCCCTACACGTGACTTCAAGTGGCACCAATGACTACATGACCCGTTACTAGTGACATTCAGCTGCTATAACAAAGGCAAAATATCAATGGCCTAAACCAGCGTTGACCAATAAAAAATTAATGTGAGCTACATGTGCAATTTTAAATTTTCTAGTAGCCACATTACAATGAAGCCAAAGGGAAGTGTTCCTTTTAACAGCATATTTTATTCAATCCAATATATCAAAATTTTCAGTGTGTGACACCAGCCACACTTTCACTGTCCAATAGCCCCATGTGGCTGATGGCTACCATATTAGACGATGCAGGCCTAGACAAGATGACGGTTTATTTCTCTCCAAGGTTGACATGATGTTCACAATCCAAGGTTGACATGATGCCTCCACGGTCTCAAGGAGTCATTCTCTATTGTTGGTCAGTCATCTTCAACAAGCGCTTCTATCTGGGATCCAACACGTGATCCAGACCATACCATTACATCGGCATTACAGCTAGCAGGAAGAGGGGAGGGGGGACAGGTTCGCATGCTTCCTTCTTTTGGAAGGTATAATTCTGAAACTGCACACATCCCGTTGTACGGAGTTTAGGTGCCTGGCCATGCAGAGCTGGAAGGGAGACCGGGAGGACCTAGTCTTCAGTTGGGGAAACATATATGCAGATAAATCTTTTAAAAATAATTTAAAAAAATTTTTTTAACGTTTATTTATTTTTGAGACAGAGAGAGACAGAGCATGAATGGGAGAGGGTCACAGAGAGACGGAGACACAGAATCCAAAACAGGCTCCAGGCTCTGAGCCGTCAGCACAGAGCCCGACGCGGGGCTCGAACTCACGGACCGCGAGATCATGACCTGAGCTGAAGTCGGATGCTTAACCGACTGAGCCACCCAAGCGCCTCCTTTTTTTTTTTTTTTTTTCCCCAAACTGAACACATCTAAAATGAACAGACGACCTTTCCTCCAAAATTTTGTCCTTCCCAGCAACACCAGTAGTGAATGTCACCAGCCTTCATCCAGTTGCACAATATTCCTCAGGCTCTCCTGACTGCCCAAGGACAAAGGAAAGGAAAGGAAACCGAGTGGTAACTGATAGAGATCACAGTCCTTCAGGACAGGAATCTCCATCAGTTTATAAATACCTTAGTGAATTACAAGAAAAAGGCAACCTCATCAATAGCCTCATGTCCAGGAACTACCTACTGTCTTAAAGTTAATGCTTTGCTAGAGGGAAAAACAACCTCACCTTGATAAGCGCTAGACTCACCATCTGTGAATTTTCTTTAGCATATGGAAATCCCTTCAAGAAACTTCCTCATGGGGTGCCTGGGTGCATTCGTCAGTTAAGCATCCAATTCTTGCTTTCGGATCAGGTGATGATCTCACGGTTTCCTGAGTTCAAGCCCCGCATCGGGTTCTGCCCTGGCAGTGTAGAGCCTGGGGATTCTCTCTCTCCTTCTCTCTCTCCTTCTCTCCCTGCCCCCACCCCCACGCATGTGGTCTGTCTCAAACTAAAGAAATAAACTTTAAAAACTAAAAAAAAACCCAAAAACAGAACCCAGAAACTTCCTCTTGACTCTACCTCCCCCAACTCCATACTATATAACCAGTCATTCCGCACAACCCCGGTGTGGCTCTTTCTGCCCAAGGGTCCTGTCTCCGTGCTTTAATAACATCACCATTTTTGCACGGAAGACATCTTCAAGAATTCTTTCTGGGCTCTGGGCTCCGAACCCGCAACACTCCAAAACCCCATCACTGTCACTTTGCCTTCTGTATTCCCTCTCAAATTCATCTATTTTTTTTTTAATTTTTTTTTTAACGTTTATTTATTCTTGAGACAGAGAGAGACAGAGCATGAACGGGGGAGGGTCAGAGAGAGGGAGACACAGAATCTCCAGGCTCCAGAAACAGGCTCCAGGCCCTGAGCTGTCAGCACAGAGCCCGACGCGGGGCTCGAACCCACGGACCGCGAGATCATGACCTGAGCTGAACTGGGGTGCTTAACTGACTGAGCCACCCAGGTGCCCCAAATTCATCTATTTCTATACATCTCTGTATTAGTCACATACTGCTGGGTAATAAATTGCCCCAAAACTTAGTGTTTAAAGATTTTTCTTATTTAGAAAAAATTTGTATTAAAAAATTTGTAATACTTTTTTTTTTTATGTTTTATTTATTTTGAGAGCAAGCGGGGGAGGGTCAGAGAGACAGAGGGAGACAGAGGATCCAAAGGGGGTTCTGTGCTGACAACAGTGAGCTGATGAGGGGCTCAAACTCACAAACTGTGAGACTGTGATCTGAGCTGAAGTCAGACGCTGAACTGACTAAGCCACTCAGGTGCCCCTAAATATTTTTTTTAATGCTTATTCATTTTTTGAGAGAGAGAGAGAAAGAGCATGAGCAGGGGAGGGACAGAGAGAGAAAGACACACACACATTATCAGAATCAGAAGCAGGCTCCAGGCTCTGAGCTGTCAGCACAGAGCCTGATACAGGGCTTGAACCCATGAATTGTGAAATCATGACCTGAGCCGAAGTCGGATGCTTACCTGACCGAGACACCCAGGTGCCCCAAAACATAGTGTTTTAAAGGACAGAACACCAGGGGCTAGAGGCAGAGAGAAATGGGAATTAGTGTTTAAGGGATACAGAGTTTTAGTTTGGGCTGTTGAAAGGTTCTGGAGATGTGTCTGGAAATCTGGTGATGTTGTAGGACGATGGGAATACAGGGGTGCCTGTCGGGCTCAGTGGCTAGAACATGGGACTTTTTTTTTTTTTAAGAAGTTCTTTCTTTTTTTGAGAGACAGCACGAGCGGGGTTGGAGCAGAGAGAGAGAGGGAGACATAGGATCTGGAGTGGGCTCTGTGTTGACAGCAGTAAGCGCGATGTGGGGCTTGAACCTGCAAACTGTGAGATCATGACCTGAGCTGAAGTCGGATGCTCAACTGACTGAGCCACCCAGGCACCTTGAGAATGTGACTCTTGATCTCAGGGTCCTAAGTTTGAGCCTCATGTTGGGTGTAGATACTACTTAAAAAAATAAACTTAAAAAAAAAAAAAAAACTTACTTACGAAGCCAAGTAATTGACTGAGTGTGGTTTTGGCACAAAGCCAGACAAATAGAATAATGAAACACCCTGGAACATTCAGAATGGAACAGAAAAAAAAAAAAAAAAATAGAAGAGTAAGTACCCTGACTTTTTGTTTTGTTTTATTTTTTTACCATTTATTTATTTTTGAGAGACAGAGCATGAGCAGGAGAGGTGCAGAGAGAGAGGGAGACACAGAATCCGAAGCCGGCTCCAGGCTCCGAGCCATCAGCCCAGAGCCTGACGCGGGGCTCAAACTCACGGAGTGTGAGATCATGACCTGAGCTGAAGTTGGGCGCTTAACCGACTGAGCCCCCCAGGCGCCCCTCCTGATTTTTTTTTTTTTTTTTTAAGGAATGTTTGAGTATTGCGGTGGGATCTATAAATCTGTACTTGGTCCCTCAGATGGCCAAATATATATTTCTCATGATTCATGGGTTCTGGTTCACAGCTCTTGAAACCCGCACCCACAGGATTTCCTGTGAGAAGGATGATAAATGTGTCTTTTGTTAAGGAGTCACGTTAAGGAGGTGACTTATTGGACTCCACCCAAGGCTGGGGGCTGGCTTCTGGGAGGATCAACTAAGTGGTCAGGGAGTTGGAACTTTCACTCTCCCTGGCTTCTGGGGAGGGGAGACACAGAGGTGGAATCAGCCAATGGCCAGGACTTAGCCAACCAGGACTATGTCATGAAACCTCCATAAAACCCGAAGGAGAACTGGCTAGATTCAGAGAGCTTCTGGGTTGGTGAACAGGAGGTCCTGGGAGAGAGTAGCCTGGAAGCCTTTCCCCACACCTGGTCCTAGCCATCTCTCCTATCTAGCTGTGGATTCATATCCCTTATCATATGATTAAATTTTTTTTTAACTTTTGAGAGAGCACGCAAGTGGGGGAAGGGCAGAGAGAGAGGGACCTAGGATCTGAAGCAGGTTCTGTGCTGACAGCACAGACCCGATGTGGGGCTCAAACTCATGAACCATGAGATCACGACCTAAGCCAAAGTCAGACACTCAACCAACTGAGCCAGGCGCCCCTCATAGCATTTAAACCTAAGTGTTCCCCTGAGTTCTGTGAGATCCTCTAGCAATTTATTTATTTAAAAAAAAATTTAAGCTCTGTCCTGACAGTGCAAAGCCTACTTGGGATTTTTTTCTTTCTCCTTGTCTCTCTGCCCCTCCCCTGCTGTCTCTCTGTCTCTCTCTCTCTCTCTCAAAATAAATACACTTTTAAACAAATTCTGAATTCAAAAAAATAAAAAACAAAAAAATAAATTTATTTTTGTAATGTTTATTTATTTTCTGAGAGAGAGAGAGAGACAGCACGAGTGGGGCAGGAGCGGAGAGAGAAGGAGACCGAGAATCCGAAGCAGGCTCCAGGCTTTGAGCTGTCAGCACAGAACCCAGTGTGGGGCTGGAACTCATAAAACTTTTTCAGGAAGCTTTTTTTTTTTCTTGGAATGTGCCAGCCTGAACCAGCAAACGGATTACAGCAGTCTATAAGAAAAAGATACATTGTGGGGCGCTTGGGTGGCTCCGTTGGTTAAGTATCCGACTTCAGCTCAGGTCATGATCTTGTGGCTTGTGGGTTTGAGCCCCACATCAGGCTCTGTACTGACAGCTCAGAGCCTGGAGGCTGCTTCAGATTCCATGTCTCCCTCTCTTTCTGCCCCTCTCCTGCTCATGCTCTGTCTGTCTAAAAAATAAATAAACATTAAAAAAAAATTTAGGGGAGCCTGGGTGGCTCAGTTGGTTAAGTGTCTGACTCTTGATTTTGGCCCAGATCATGGTCTCACAGTGTGTGAGTTGGAGCCCTGCGTTGGGTTGGTGACAACTCAGAGTCTGGAGTCTGCTTCTCATTCTATGTCTCCCTTTCTCTCTCTGCTCTTTCCCTGCTCACGCTCTGTCTCCCTGTCTCTCAAAAATAAATAAAGATTTAAGAAAAAAAAAAAAAGATACATTGTGACCAAATGGAGTTTACCAGAGAAAAAGAAGAATGGCTAATATTCACAAAACTGTTAATGAGATTTATCATATTAGCAGAGCCAGGTAGGAAAAAAAAATCATCTGACAATCCCATATATACGAAAAAGAGTGTTTGGCAAAATGGAATATCTATTGCTGTTTTGTTTCGTTTTATTTTTATTTATTTATTTATGTTTAATGTTTATTTCTTTTTGAGAGAGAAGACAGAGCATGAGCAGGGGAGGGGCAGACACAGAATTTGAAGCAGGCTCCAGGCTCCGAGCTGTCAGCACAGAGCCAGACGCGGGGCTCGAACTCACAGACCACAAGATCATGACCTGAGCCGAAGTCGGACGCTCAACTGACTGAGCCACCCAGGCACCCCCTGTTTCGTTTCCTTCCTGAATAAGAAGGAAGTTAGACATCTGTGGCTCTCCAAGCCTCCTGCTCTGTGAAGGGATATCCCTGGTCTCCCATCTCAGGGCACGTGTCTACTGCCCCTGCATCCCAGAATGCTCTTTGCGGAACTTCAGCATCTATAAACACTATAGACAATGCCTGATATTTGGGGATCTCCCAGTATCTGAACCCCCACCTTATTTCGGCAGCAGTGCCCCACGGTGGGTGCAGAGCTGGGAGCTGGTATCTGACTTTTTAGAAGACTAGGGGGCCCAGACCTTCACAGAGCAGGAGCCTTAGAGAGCCACAGATGTCTAATGGAAGTCTCTGGAAGATATGGGATAGGTAATTGAATGCTTCCTCTCGGGACTTTGATTAGGCAGGAAAGAGGTGAGGACAGAGGGAAGTGTAGAGTTCAGCGGGAAGGGTGAGGTCATCAGTCACTGGTCCGGCATGAGAGAAGGGAGTGTCCAGCCGGGATCGTGGTAGACCCAGCTTCCCGGCCGGGCTGCGGTCACACATGTGACTTTAAGAACGCTGTCTGCTGTCTGTTCTTGGCTTCCCACCAAATTCCCAAGCCTGATTGTCTAGCCTTCCCATGCATAATGTGATTTCGGCAAGGTCCTTCCTATAAATTCCACCTCTGCTTCTTAGGTCCAGAAGAAACGTCATGTGCAAACCAGAACCTCGATTCCCTATTGAGGTCACGGGGCCGCCCCGCAGGAGACCCTCAGGAATGAGCCTCAGTGGGGTCCGGAGAGGAAGAGTCAAGCCCATGAGACGATTCTCCTTTCCTCCATAATGCAGATTGGATTAACAGATGGTGACTTTCAGCCTCCTTCAGCAAAATAGACTGAAGGCTTCTGTTTTGAAGACGTAGGCTGCATTTTGGGGGGGAGTGAGGAAGGAAATCTATTCGATTTGTAAAACTCCCCTGCTAAATGTTCTTATCAGATGGGAAATAAGTCAAGTCCCCATCTCTAGGGGACCAGGTAAACAAACAATGGCACCTCCAGATAGTGCCACAGGGTGCATATCTTAAAAAAAAAAAAAAAAAAAAAAAAAAGAGGGGCTCCTGGGTGGCTCAGTCGGTTAAGTGTCCAACTTTGTCTCAGGTCATGATCTCCGGGTCTGTGGGTTTGAGTTCCAAGTAGTGCTCTGTGTTGACAGCTGAGAGCTTGGAGGCTGTTTCAAATTCTGTCTCCCTCTCTCTCTGCTCCTCTCCTGCTCACACACACTCTCTCTCTCAAAAACTAAACATTAAAAAAAAAAAATAGAATAGGGGCACCTGGGTGGCTCAGTGGATTAAGCGTCCAACTTCGCTCAGGTCACGATCTCACGGCTCATGGGTTCGAGCTCCGCATTGGGCTCTCTGCTGTCACTTCAGATCTCTGTGCCCTCTCCCTCTCTGCCCCTCCCCTTCTCACACTCTTTCAAAAATAAATAAACATTAAAAAAAATAAAAATAGGGGCGCCTTGGGTGGCTTGGTCGGTTAAGCGTCTGACTTTGGCTCAGGTCACGATCTCACGGTCCGTGAGTGCGAGCCCCGCGTCGGGCTCTGGGCTGACAGCTCAGAGCCTGGAGCCTGTTTCCGATTCTGTGTCTCCCTCTCTCTCTGCTCCTCCCCTGTTCATGCTCTGTCTCTCTCTGTCTCAAAAATAAATAAATGTTAAAAAAAAATTTTTTTTAATAAAATAAAATAAAAATAAAAATAAGAATAGGTATGTCCATGTGGTTATGTTTGTTTCAACCCTGCAAGGATACAGAAGAGATTCCTAAACGTGGAGATCTGTAAGGGTGGGCAGAGAATGAAATGTGGGGTCCAGGTGTGGAAATGAAGCTTCTCCGTGTGTATTTTAAACATCTCAACTGATCGTTTTAATTACATCTGTATGTAGATTATACGACTCAATGCCCGTAAAAACGCTTAGCATGATGTCTCCGCACCAGCGCATGTTAATTACGATACAATACGGAATATGTGCTAATTTGTATAAAATAAGCTACAGAAAGTTCTAGAAAGATACAAAAGAAACTGGGTTTGACCAGAGGGAAAGCAGAATGGGACAGCTGGCACACAGGCACGTGTGAGAGACTTAATTCACTATCTACACCCCCCCCCCGTTTTTTTTTGTATTTTCTGAATCCTCTGCCGTGGCAAATACATTACCAAGTCAGAACACGTAAGTACGCATGCATTTCAACGGGCTATTTTTAATCTGCCAGGCAAGGAGCCTTGTGGTGATAAATGAATACAGATGCCTTTTTCCTATTGAGCTCCCTTTCTCAGATTAAAATAGTGGGGATCAAACACACAGTTTGAGGCTGATTTATCCCTCTGTCCGTGATCTGCACGGGATGCTGTGGGGTACCAGATGGCTACCCAGCCCAGTTCACCTCTGCATGCCCTCGCTAACCTAGAGCGGGGCCTCGAGTCAATAAAAATACCTCATTTGGGGTCATCGAGGGCTGAACCTAGGCTCCCACCATTTGCAGTCTCTCTAAATTTGTAGTTAAAAGGCGTAGTTCAGTCAAAACTCACAAAAACAACTCCAGATGGCCTGCGGGACTGGGCTGCCCTCTAGGGGACGGTGAGCCGTCTAGGGGACTGGGCTGTCGTCTAGGGGACTGCACTCGTCCCGCGTCCAGAAGAGGCACCTTTTTCTTCTCATTCGTTCCAAGTGAATGCACGACCCTGTTGAGCACAGGGGACACGCGAGTGAACGAGACAGTGAATATGCAAATACAGACACAAGTTGTTCTGTGTAATGGAATAAAATATGTGGAGGACAGTGGGGGTCTGTTCTAGACGGAGTGGTCAGGGGGCTCCTGGGTTGCTCAGTCGGTTAAGCATCTGACTTCGGCTCAGATCATGATCTCACAGTTCATGAGTTCGAGCCCTGTGTCGGGCTCTGTGCTGACAGCTCGGAGCCTGGAGCCTGCTTCAGATTCTGTGTCTGTCTGTCTGTCTCTCTCTCTCTCTCTCTCTCTCTCATGAATACATAAATAAATATTTTAAAAAATAGATGGAGTGGCCAGAGAAGGGCCCCTTTGGGGGAGGGGTAACATTTGAGCTCAGAGCTGAAGGATGAGGAGATATTATCTCCGAAAGAGTGTGAGGAAAGCACATTCCAGCAGGTGCAAACGCCCCGAGGGAGAGGGCAGAGCCGGAAGCAAGTACCAGAGGTCTCACAAAGACAGATACAGATTCAGAAACAGATAGACACACAAATAGTCCCTTGACTTAAGGACTAACATATGCCACGTTGTGGTGGAGAAAGAGATGGGCTTTTTTTTTTTTTTTTGACTCCCCCTGAACCCATGTCCCTGAACGGGTTCAGATCAAGACTCCTCAAACAAGGTGCCACTTTGGCATATGGACTCTTTTGAGCTGAAGGCAATCGAGACCCTGCAGGCTCGAGAAAAAGTTTATGCCTCTCCCTTAACTGCCTAGAAGAATCTAAACTGGGGGTGTTTTCCAGAATTAGAGCCATTACCAGTGATAAGTTTTATCTGAGTGACCCACCTATATGGCAGGGCAAACAGCTACTTCCCAAACATCCCACTCCTTAGCTCAGGACGATGTGGACCCCTCACCTCACCTTTCTAAATTTTTATTTTATTATGTTTATTTATTTATTTTGAGAGTATGAGAGAGCGTGTGCAAGCAGGGGAGAGAGAGAGAGAGAGGGAGAGAGAGGGAGAGAGAGGGAGAGAGAGAGAGTCCCAAGCAGGCTCCGTGCTGTCCAGCTCTGCACTGAGCCGTTACACGGGGCTTGTAAACCACAACCCTGGGATCATGACCTGAGCCGAAATCAAGAGTCAGATGCTTAACCGATTGAGCCACCCAGGCGCCCCCTTATCTTACCTTTCTGTCTTGGAACCTCTCAAGTATGTGCAATTCCTGGGCATACAAGTGAAGTTTGATTTTCTCCTGTTAATCTGTCTCATGTGGGTTTAATTCTTAGACCAGCCGGGAAAACCTTTGAAGAAGGTAGAGGAGGGAGAATTTACCCTTCCAAACAACCCCCACCCCGTACCATCCCCTCAAATACATTTCCAGATGATTCTGAGGTCTGTGAAATATAAAACAACACATATTCAGGGTGCCTGGGTGGCTCAGTCTATTAAGCGTCTCTCTTTTTTTTTAATTTCTTTTTTTTAACGTTTATTTATTTTTGAGACAGAGAGAGACAGAGCATGAACGGGGGAGGGTCAGAGAGAGAGGGAGACACAGAACCTGAAACAGGCTCCAGGCTCTGAGCTGTCAGCCCAGAGCCCGACGCAGGGCTTGAACCCACGGACCGCGAGATCACGACCTAAGCTGAAGTCTGACGCTTAACCGACTGAGCCACCCAGGCGCCCCTAAGTGTCTGACTCTTGATCTCAGCTCAGGTCTTGATTTCGGGGTCATGAATGAGACCCTGTGTGGCTCTGTGCTGGGTGTGAAGTCTACTTAAAACAAAACAGAACAAAATGAAGCAAAACAAAACACCCAAACAATAAATGTTCAAGAATAAGACGTTGGAGGTAGGCCTGCCTGGGTCAGTCAAAGGAACATGTGACTCTTGATCTCCAGGTCATGAGTTCATGAGTTTGAGCCCCTAGTTGGCTGTGGAGAGTACATAAACAAAGAAATACACAAACCTAAAAGAAAACATCTTTGGCATTTGGGATTGACAGAGATTTCTTAAACAGGACACAGAGGGTAAGTTGGGCTATGTTAAAATAGAGAAACTCGTGTTGCTATAGACTGAATGCCCACCCCCACCCCCATATATTGAAATCCCCAGTGTGATTGTTTGGAGAGGTGATTATATCATGAGGGTAGAGCCCTCGAGAATCTGATTGATGCTCTTTTATAAGACAGACCCCAGCGGTCGCCTTGCCCCTTCCTCTGTGTGAGGACACAGGGAAAGCACAGCCCTCCATGAGCCAGGAAGCGAATCCTCGCCAGACAGAATTGGGCCGGCACCTTGATCTTGAACTTCCAGCCTCCAAAATTGTGAGAAGTGAATTCAGGTTGGGGAGCCTGGGTGGCTCGGTCGGTTAGGTGTCCGAATTAGGCTCGGGTCATGATCTCACAGTTTGTGAGTTTGAGCCCTGTATCAGGCTCTGTGCTGACAGCTCGGAGCCTGCTTCAGAGTCTGTGTCTCCCTCTCTCTCTGCCTCTCTGCTGCTTGTGTTCTGTCTGTCTCTCTCTCTCTCAAAAATAAACATTAAAAAAAAAATTTTTTTTTTTTAATTTTTTTTCAACGTTTATTTTTGGGACAGAGAGAGACAGAGCATGAACAGGGGAGGGGCAGAGAGAGAGGGAGACACAGAATCGGAAGCAGGCTCCAGGCTCTGAGCCATCAGCCCAGAGCCCGACGCGGGGCTCGAACTCACGGACCGCGAGATCGTGACCTGAGCCGAAGTCGGACGCTCAACCGACTGCACCACCCAGGCGCCCCTAAAAAATTTGTTTTAATTAAAAAAAGAAAAGAAAAGAAACCGAGTCTCTCCCAACAAGAGAAAAAGCCAAGAGTCAACAGAGTCTGTTGTAGTGACTCCAGGCACCTGGGCAGATTCAGAGGATCATAGAGAACAGTGGATACGGTTGACAAGAATGTGTGATGGTAACTGGATTATAGATGACTGCTCACGTCCAAATCCTCTGTATAGATGTTCCCAGGCCTCCCTATTCCCCGAGTGAACGTCTGTTTTGCCTGCATGGGTCTGGCCTCCAGAGTAGCCATACCCCACATAGGTCTTCTACCCACCGTGTGGTTTTCATCTATGTCCATGTGCGTGCGGGGCACCTTTGGGGCCAGGAACCACGAAACTCAAAGGGGTCACTGGAGGAGAATTTAACTATTTGCAAAGGCATAGGGTGGTACAAAGGCAAACAGCAGGCCCAAAATGGAGTCACTCGTGCCAAAACCCCACATCAGGAAACCAAGACTTAAGATCTAACCTAAATGTAGGGGCGCCTGGGTGGCGCAGTCGGTTGAGCGTCCGACTTCAGCCAGGTCACGATCTCGCGGTCCGTGAGTTCGAGCCCCGCGTCGGGCTCTGGGCTGATGGCTCAGAGCCTAGAGCCTGTTTCCGATTCTGTGTCTCCCTCTCTCTCTGCCCCTCCCCCGTTCATGCTCTGTCTCTCTCTGTCCCAAAAATAAATAAACGTTGGAAAAAAAAAAAAAAAGATCTAACCTAAATGCAGTGCCAGCCCCCAGGAATGTGACCTTCAATCGGTCAACTTGGAATTATCTGGTAAACACCAGTGTGGATGGGCCCCTCAGTCTCCCTAGGAGGAGACCTGGCCTGAAATGATGCATTTTTTTGCTAATGATTTCCATTTTCTACCGCTTTTCTGCCTTTATTTATTAAAAAAAATTTTTTTTTTTAATCTTTGATTTTGAGAGACAGAGTGTGAACGAGGGAGGGGCAGAAAGAGAAGGAGACCCAGAATCTGAAGCAGGCTCTGGGCTCCAAGCTGTCAGCACAGAGCCCGATGTGGGGCTTGAACTCACAGACTGCAAGATCATGTCCTAAGCTTAACCAACTGAGCCACCCTTTTTTTTTCCCTTTAAAAAACTATCTTTCCTGTAACTTTTTTCTGTTTGCTGCCTGGGACGCTGCCTGATTCATGAATTGTGGAATAAAGCCAGTTTGATCTTTAAATGTACTCAGCGGAACGTTTGTTTCTATTTTTTTTTTAAGATCCTTTTTAAAGTGATCTTTACACCCACCATGGGGTTTGAACTCACAACCCTGAGATCAAGAGTCCTATGTTCTACCAATGGAGCCAGTCAGGCGGCCCTACTCAGTTGAACTTTTGTTATTTAACTGAACAGAACCTAGGAAAATCCCCAGGAGCTATTTTCTAGTAAGATAAGCAAGCACAGATTAGGATTACATCATCATTTGTGTGAGGAAAGGTTTAAAAATGGGAATATGTTTTCCTGTCTTCTGGGTTGTGCATAAACCCTGGAGGGAAATATAAGAAACCCATCAAAGTGATGGCCTATAAAGGAAGGATATTAAGTATGACAGGAGGGATAAGACGTTTTAAAGTGTACCTTTTTACGGTAGTGGGATTTTTTTTTTTAAGTTTATTTACTTATTTTGGGAGAGAGTGAGTTGGGGAGGGACAGAGAGAGAGGGAGGGAGAGAATCCCAAGCAGGCTCCACACTATCAGTCCAGAGCCCGATGCAGGGCTCAATCTCACAAACCTTGAGATCAGGACCTGAGCTGAAGTTGGACACTTAATGGACTGGGCCACCCAGGTGCCCCGGGATTTCTTAAACCCATAAATGTGTTACCCATTTAACAGTATGTATTGATTATGAAGCTCAAATCAAATAGAGCATTTGGAAAAGAGCCTCAATATTGCAACATCCTGTTGCTTGCTAATGATTAAATATGATCTTGTATATACAGTGAATTTCTGGAGAAGATAATGAAGAGGTAAGAGGGGAGAGGGATTGGGACTGGAAAACTGGGATTGGTGGGAGACTTATTTGACTTTAAAAAATTTATTTTCATTGGGGCACGTAGGTTAAGCATCTGACTTCGGCTCGGGTCATGATCTCGCGGTCCGTGAGTTCGAGCCCCGCG